AGGTGTTCCGGAGACGGATGTCCCTCCGAAACAAGGGGGAGAAGCATGTCAGGGTCAACCCCCACAACCTCCAACAAGCAAACCTATTCAAATCTCTTCACAACCGAAAGTCACCACTGAACCGAAGGTTAATGAAGCTTAGAATTCTAGTGTGAAGGACAAAAGCAAAAAGATAATCGATGATGGTGATGAGGAAGAATATGAAGAAGATGCTCTCAAAAGAAAGCAACGTGACCGAGAGCTTGATGAAAATCTCCGCATTGCAAGAGAAGAAGAAGATAGGGAAAGAAAATGAAAAGAAGCTCACGATGCATTGGAAAGTAGAAAAACTTATTTCCTTTGTGGTCATTGGAGAAACTCTAAAAAGAAGCAATCGAGTCTCCTAGCACTCATTGGCTTGAACCAGTCATCTCGTTTGATCGTGAGAATTCGAGAGACTCTCAGTTCGACATGCCTATCATCCGAAAGGCATTTGTGTTTCATTGCTTTGAGCCAATCGCCGCTGTTCCTTCTCCTGACCCGAAGGTTGACCGAGAATTAATTGACTATGTAGCACCTGGTTCCTGGTATATATTTTCTTTAAGTATTTTGCATTTTTGGCCTGGGACTCGGCGAGTTGAAGGCCCAACTCGTCGAGTAGAAGCGGATTTGATCCGGGATTTAAATGACAGACTCGTCGAGTCGGCTTCCAGACTCGACGAGTAGACTCTGACTGGACAAAACCCTAATATGAGGGTTTGCACCCTATTTAAACAACCTTATACAGCCTCCATCGCCCCTTTATGCTCCTAGAACACTCCATACAGAACCCTAGTCGTGTTGTGAGATCTAAAGGCCTTTTTGGTGATTCTTGGTAGTTTGTGGTGGCAAGAAGGAAGGAAAAGCTTGAGGAACCAAGAGGTTGGCCAAATGAATCAAACTTGTGCATCATCTACAGTTCTTGGAAGGTATAAAGTCGATACCTTGCTTGTTCTTTTGCTAGATCCCTTTTTGGGGAGATTTAGGGCTTTTATAAGCCATTCTTGGTAACCAACCATGATTGCAAGCATGGTTGGGGGTTGAGGCTTCGGATCTCGATCCATGGAGGAGTTACAAGGCAGAAAAGGGCTGCTTTTGCACCCATGGAAGCCCCCATGCAACTTAAGAGCCTCTTTTAGAGCCTTTCTAGCTCAAAGTCCCATGCATGCACGTAAAGTTCGTAACTTTACGTGCTAGATCGAGTTTAGGGACCAAGATCTATCATTTGGACAAGAGTTGTACACCAGAAATCGAAGAAATAGACTTGGGACCGTATCGACTCGGCGAGTCGTTCTTGGGACTCGGCGAATCCGAGGCTTGATTTCCCTTTCCTGTTATGGTTCAAGAGACCCAGTTGAGTGAAAGAAAGGTTTTATAGGGTCCATGGGACTGACCCAAACTTATTGGGATAATCCATAGTCCTGGAGTTCATAGGACTCGACGAGTGCACAAACAGACTCGACGATTCCAAGGCAATCTCCCAACTCTTGAAGATGAACTCGACGAGTCGAGGACAGGACGTGTTCATAGGATGAAGATGAACTCAACGAGTGTTCATACCACTCGGCGAGTCGGATGAAGGTTCATCCGGGGTTGAGTTAGAAGGAAAACTCATCGAGTCGTTGCTAAACTCGGCGAGTAGAGACGTGGATGATGACAGTTGAAGAGATAGGGACTCGACGAGTTGGCGACCCAACTCGGCGAGTCGGGTCAACTGAAAGTTGACTTTGGCTTTGACTTGGACTTGGTCAGGGGTAAAATGGTCATTTTACCCTAAGAATACATATCAGACTCTGATTAAGGGTTTTGTGGGGATTATAGCCGGAGGTTTTCCGGAGCAGCAGCAGACAGAGATTTCCCGCACAGATTATCAGCAGCTACTCGGTCGAGGTGAGTTGCCTTCCAGTAAGAGTGGGTCTACGGCCACAATGCCGACCCACTAGTAGGAATTGTTTGTTAGATGATTGTCTTTGTGATAATTATCTGATGTGCTGCTACCTGATATGCTTTATGTGCTAGGATGGTATGACATATGTGTTAATAATGGTAGGGGTGATATAACCCCTAGTCACCGGTTGAAAGATACCGAAGGGGTAGATAGTACCAATGCATGCCTAGTAGTATAATTATGATATGTTATTATGTGATAATGGTAGGGGTGAAATAGTCCCCAGTTACCGGTTGAAAGATACCGATGACAGATACCGGTTGAAAGATACCGATGACAGTTACCGGTTGAAAGATACCGATGACAGATACCGGTTGAAAGATACCGATGACAAGTTACCGGTTAAAAGATATCGACGATATTATATGGTATGTGGTATGATGGGGGAACTCACTAAGCGGTGTAGCAGCGCATCACACACACACACGATTTCCGCATGGAGTTTTCTGGGATTGTACTCTGATTTATTTTACTTTGACATTATGATTTTCAGACACTTTGTTATATTTTTGTTTGCAAATGTTATGGCATGGGAAATGTTTTGGTAAACTATGTTGGGAATTTCTTAATTAAAAACGAAAAATTTGGGCTTGGAATTTGGGATGTTACAGACTACTATCTCGCATTCTCTCAACCACAATACTTGACCTGGAGTGCACAAAAGATCACAACGGTCAAGGTATTGAAACCAACTTCAGCGGGGAATTTTATAAATGTGAAGTTCAGGGTGACCCGAGGCTCTGACAACTCGGTTCATATGATCTCTCTTGCTGATCTGCCGAACTTAAACCCACACGACTGGATCCTCCTGAACAACATTTTGCTAACTAATCAACAGCAGTACGAGCCTATCATCGATCACATCAAGCGAATGTTAGTTTCTTATATTCATGAGGTTGCCAAGATGGATCAAGAGATAGCCTCTACCTTAAGGAAGAAGCCTACAATCAGACCAATTGGGAAGGCAAGCGATGTTAACAAGATGCAGATGGGTAGGATTGACCCGAAGTATCACACAGTCATGTTCACTAGAGCCGAAGGTCAAAAGTGCTTGTTCGCTCTTGATGATAAACACCTGTTCTCCACTACTTGTTTGGAGCACATTCTTGACATCATTCACAGGTGTAGGCAAAACAGTGATGTTGATAAGAAATTTTTTTTAGATATGCTTCGGTGGTATATTGACTTCCGTCAAACTCTTTTCGCCATCATACCGAAGTTATTCAAGACTGTGAAGAAATCTACTCTCACTCAACCGAAATGATCTCTCGCCTCAATTGACGCAAAGGGGGAGATTGTTGAGTCTAGGAGTTGCGTCATTGGGCTTGTTACCTCGGTCCATTGTTATCACGGTTCTGGGCCTATCCAGTCGTGTTTATGATATTAGGGTTTACTTTATAAGGTGCATGCATGCATCGTTCTCTGTACGCTATATAATTATTATTCATTTCATTGTATTGGAACCCTAGCACACCTCTACAGTCGAAGTTCTTTATCGAGCTCTTCTGAGGTGGAGCATATTAATCATTCAGCTCTTGTTTGATTCGTCCGGTGTTCTTTGCTTTTATTGTGTTTATCTAAATCTGTTACGAATCTAAACGATCTTAGAGAAATTAATTCTCAACAAATACGAAGGATTACTGTAACGCCGTGAATTTTTACTCTATTTTTTTATTTATTTTAAAACCTTTTAACGGAAGACTTAAAATAGTTTATTTCAAAAAACATTTCATAAAAAAACCACAACGTTACGTCATTTTGAAAAAAACAAGTAACCAAAACATTTTAAATATAACGGAAGCAATCTACATAAGGAAATAATACATTTTGAAGTGGCACCATTATTCGAAATTAAACTACCCAAAAGGTGACCCAGTCCCACTAAGCTCAAGCTCCTAAGCTACTTGCACTGATCGTAAGGCACATAACAATGAAACAAGTGTCAACACATGCTTCGTGAGCCGATGAAGTTGTACACAATCAAAACGAAAACATACAATCCCTTAATGGATCATTCATACAAATTATGATCACATATCAACCAAATAGCAAACAACATTCAATTGCATATCATAATCCATTTCATCCATTTCTCATTCAACGTTTCACCGTATCATTTTTACCACATTTCAACCAATTATTACATATTATTTCAATTCAATCAATTATTATATGTAATTCCTTTCAACCTATCATTATATACAATTTCAATTCAACCGATTATTGTATATAATCACCATTCATGTAATCTTTTTGTTTGAATATAGATAAATAAAATATCTTTGTTTAAGTATTGTTCCTAACGAGTTTTGAAAATCAATATATTCAAGCATGTGTTTATACGACATATCTCCTAGTTATATACATATACTAGATTATTACCAGCGTTAAACGCGGGGAACGCATATAAAAAGCATAAAAATGTCCATAGAACTCTTAAAATGAATTTATTAAATTCTTGAGTACATATATTAAAAAAATTAATATCATAAAACAAAATAAAACATGACTTGAAGATTAAAACTATAAAAGGAAAAAAAAGATTCAATCATAAACTAATACAAAATATTAAAATATCAGCATGAGAAAAAACAACGCTTTTCGAATGCAATTTGAAATAGATACAATCACATATTTCTACTTGACATAGTAACTTTCTCAAAATCTTGAACAAAATCAAAATACTTCATGCGGCGTGGGTGTCAAAATTCCTGGCCAACAAATCGGGAAAACTAACAAAATGATAATGATCAACCCTATCAATAAAATCAGGGGACACACGAACTGTGGTGGTTTTGTAAAAATTCATCTTATGTTTGTGAGGAACAAGCATATAGTCTCCCTCAATTCTAGCCATAGCAAAATTACCGATCTCCCTAACAGCTCCTTCATCGTATAAGGCTTCAAATATAGGAATTATATTCTTTTTTATTGTTGCCTGTATTTTATTTCCCTATAGTTGATAATGAAATTTTAATTAGTGTAAATAAAAGATGAATGGAAAATAGTAAAATGCATCATTCGTATCTCTTGATCAATTAAAATCATGTCCAAGCTCCCGATCATTTTTGGGCAACATGACTTTAACGCGGATGTTCCAACATTCTTTTGATGCATTGATGTCAGCAACCTTATCGAAGATCAGTTGAGAAGCGTTATTCTCTGCCATCGTTTTGTGTTGTCTAGATTGAAAAGAGAAAAAAGTTAGAGGATTTATGATATGGATTAACAAAAAACGTATACATATATTTATATAGTGTAAAAAAGTATTAATTATAGTATGCAATAATAACAATATCTCTATAATATTTTCCATTTTATTAATTCATACTAAAAATAAAACAAATCTTTTTAGGAACGTATAAAAATAATTAATTATAGTATGTTATGACATTTATTGTAATATCATTTCTATAATTAAAAAACTGCTTAATTATAGTATGCTATCAAAATAAAAATAAAAATAAAAAAATATATAGACTATAAAATATCATTACAAAAATAAGTTGAATCATACCAAAAATAGCAAATATCTCTATAATATTTTCCATTTTATTAATTGATACTAAAAATAAAACAAACATCTTATTAGGAATGTATATAGACATATAATAGACATATAATTCGTCAAATTTTATATATAAACTTCTAAACTTTATGGGTAAATGCATGAAAATGTTAAATGGATCCATCTCTTCTAAACTTCTAAACATATAATTAGTCAAATTTAACTCATAAAAGAGTAAAACCAAGAAAGAATATGCTTTCTTTCATATATTTTTTGATTATCATATTAGCTTTTGAGTTCTTCATCGCTTTCGGTTCTATTTACGTTATGCACTTGGTAGAACTTTTTTACGCTATGGACTTGGTAGAACTTTTTGTTGAAGATGTAATACGAAGAGTAACTAAACAATTTTCTTTATTAGCAATGCGGAAAAATACACGACAAACATCGGCAATTTTGAACAAGCCAAAAATTAAAAATAGACTTTAATCATCACACAATATTTTACAAAATAGTATATATATATATATATATATATATATATATATATATATATATATATATATATATATATATATATATATATATATATATATATATTCCTGAACTTACTTATCATGCTTTTCAAACTTCCGTAAGTCAAAACCACCGCCATCTCCAGTCAGGCGTGTCATCGGCGTTGACAAACTTCGGGTGCAAACGGTGGGCCCAACGTTTGAGATCGAGCCTTCTCTCACTCCACCACCACCAAAACTGTAACATGGCCGGAGTTGCCGTTGATCTTCACTATTACCTTCTTTTCCGGTCAACTGGTTCACCTCTTCCGGCGACTTTTCACCCTCCCAAACCGACCCTGATGAACCTTGCCTCCTAAATGACTTTGTTGTCCTCTGTAGCGTCGCCATGGCTAATCTGGAACTGGCAGTCTTTATCTGCTTCTGTGTCCCTGCAGTCGTTGCAAATGTGCAGCATTTTATGAAGTATGTGTTTGAGAAAAAGACAGAAAATGGGATCCAATGATTAGATGCCATTCAATTGTATACCGGCAAAACTGTTATTAACAATAGTAGAGGAATTTTAGTATCATCTGTTTTTCTGTATGTCTTTTTGCTAATTTCTGTATGTTTGTAATTTTTATACAATGTTGAACTTTTTATACAAAATTGACAACCCTGTTGGGTTTAATTCTGACTTTTAGTCAAAGGAGCTGACTGATTCAAAGCATACAATTTTATTAGGGATAGTTTAGTCTTTTTGCTTAGAGTATGAATAAGTAAAGGCCATGTTGGCCACGTTTTTAGAATAGTTTAGATAGGTTTAGTTGGCTCCTGTTTTATTGCTTTGACTAGGTGAGTATGTTTCCCTTTAAAAGTGAAGTAGGCAGCTAGTTACGTGTATATATATTGTATGTTATGATACTGAATAAAATGTGAGAGAGTTTAGAAAGATGTAGCCTACGGTTGTTTTGGGTTTGTTCACAGGGGATGTTCCAACAAACCCAAGTTGGTCAAGGAGAACAATAAGGCATGAGATCACAACCTTTGTGACTTGTGAGGCTATTTTCAATAATGAGGAGAGTGAGGGCATTCATGTCTTTTGAACAGAGAAGAACTTGAGTTATGCTTATTTTATAAAAGTTTATGGAAGAAATATGTTTTGGTGACTGAACTAGAATTCTAAAGCAATGACATTTAAAATATGCATAAGATTTATCGTTTTTCATTTCTGGACTCTATCAAAACTTGTGAAATTAGACCATGATGAGGAACACCATCTTTACCAAGTTGTTTCTATAAATCGTTCAGAACTTTTATGTTGAAGTATATTCGTCACATGCACACTGTTGCTAATCATGGCATTCTACATCCCATTTTCAACATATATAACCACGTAATTAACTTCCAAGATAACTAACAAATTGTAAAAAATTACTTAATTAACTTAAAACACAGTTAACTACTACCTTCCTTGAAATTTGCAACCTCTAGCTTCGCGTTTAAAGAAAATCTTTTACTACTTGTCTATATCGAATATAACATTTAATAAGCAAAATAAAAGAATTAACCTTCTAGACACAAATCAATCACCATAAAAACCAATTATCATATTATCCAAAAGAGTTTAATGGAACGGTTGAATAAGATGATTTGGGCCAATACTTACTAGCATTTGTGGTTTTTGGGTCAAAATGATACTTGGTGTCCCGTAATTAAGCAGTAAAGAAAGAAACCGAGGTATACCAAAAAGCTCAAATAGAAAACACGACATCAATCTTGGTGCTAAATAGAAGATGAGAGAGACAACTCTTTTTTCAATTGGTCTGGCAACGGCTTCTGGAATCAACGTCGTAAGTATGTTCATTTGTTTTCAGATTAAACTAGGATTTTAACCGTTGCGCTTTGTGGCGGCTGGTATTGGATTTAAGAAGAGGAACTCTTTCGGTAGTTATAGAAATTTATGAGGACTTAAGTTGTCAAACCATAAAAGTCAACGACCAAAGACATGCATATAAACCTAGGAGGACTTAAGTTGTCAAAGCATAAAAATCTGGAAACAAAGTCATGTCAGACAAAATGCTAAAAATAAGCACGAAAACGTAAAAGATTACATCTAAACGTAAACAAACTTGAATATATACCGACATGTACAATAAAAAAAGCAAGTAAGTTTTTTTAAAATTATCGAACGAAGTTCTAAATTTACATCAAAATGTTGACCACCTCGAATTTATACCGACACGTAAGAAATTTGTTTTTTTTAACTTAACGAATTAAATTTAAAGCCGAAAGTGACATTTTAAAAAGTTGAGGGGTGATAACTATAGAAAAATCAGATTATGTATACTACGGGAGTATGCACGAAAGGTTAGAAAATAGAGGGGGTGAAAGTGACATTTTAGAAATTTCAAAATTGAAGGCGTTAAACAACATTTTAAAAGAGGGGTGTAAAATGGAAAGGTGAAATTGATATTTTAGAAAATTGAAAGTTTAGGAGTAAAAATGATATTTTATAAAGTATAAGGATAAAAAACGCCAATTTAAAAAATAAAAGGTAGAAATATTGATAGATACAAAGTAGAGGGTTTAACCAAAGTCGGTGGAAAACTCCACCGACTTTGGATTTTAGTATAAACTAGTATTTTATCCGTTGTGCGTTGCGACGACAGTAATAAATTTAAGAATTAGTAGAAAGTTAGTTGCTATTTGTTGAAAATAGATGAAAAAGTTGTTTCTGTTTTTATTTCGTTTGAGTATTGACGTCTTCAGATACTACATGTACCATTTTTTGTGGGAAAAAAATGCGTTTCTATTGTTGGTAGAAAACATAGTAGTTTGTTATTATATTTGGTTAAAAAAAATATGTTATGTTTTATTAAATATTGTAGCAGTAAGAAGTATACATGTACTATGTAAGTTGGTAGAATATTTAAAGTCATAGTAGTTTGTTGTTTTTTATTGGGTTATTGTCACTCTAGCCCAAAAAAGTTACGTATAATGGTTTAAATGGTCCCTTGTGATTATTTTTTGCGTTTTAAGGGCTTAAACTTGTTAATGACCGATTGGGAAAGTCATCTTACCCATTTTTGCAGGTTAACCTGCCTCGTCACTTGCCATGTATACGTATGAGGTAACCCACTGAGTCAATACCGAGTTGAGTCGATGACACATAAGCTGGCACATGCAGATTAGTAATTATCGCCTTTAATGTCCACCAACACCCCAACAACCTTACACTGTCGATTCGATTGAGTCACAGGCACAAGTCTCGAATTATAAGGGGACATATGCATGTGGGGTTTGAAGTAAAACAAATCTGAAACTTGTTTACCATTTTCGGGCAAACAATCATGTGGAAGAACCCTTAAAAAGCAACAATGTCGGCTCCACCACCTTCACCCGACTCTTTAAATTCTGCTGAAGACATCAACTACAATGTGCTCCACTCAATCTTCTGTGATTGTGGTCCAAAGATTACAGAAAACCAAACTGAAATGAAAAGGTTGAAGGAGCAGGTAGGACAAGAGTATATCATTTGCAGGATCGACCACATCAGTCTCCAGCACAAGCTGGATGACCATGATCAGAAGTTTAAAGTCGTTGGTGTTGCTCTGGGTGGCATGATGTTGGGTATGCTCTTGTTGCTGGTTGCTGTGCTCCATTTCCTTGTTAAGCTTTGGTGATGGGTTGATCTGCAGCTAAGGTGGTTAATGGTTAAGAAGGTTATTAGTATGTAGTGTTCGTGTGTTTTAATTTTTGTTAAATTTTTTTTCTTGTATTTCTGTTTATTTTGGCGAAATATGTAAAAGTCCTGTCTTAAAGACAGGCATTTTGTAAGTGAAATTGAATGATTAATGAAAGACCTATCAAAATGTGAGGCGTTTTGTAAAGTTGTCTGATGTTCTTTGTTGATTGTTTTTTATCTGAATTAGTTCTTAAATTTGATAGAACGGATCCGTTGAAAGTGCAATAGTAGGGGTAATATAGTCTTTTACATAGTGGGGGTAATATAGTCTTTTTTATGTACTGCTCCTTTATATATACCTTCTTGCATTCATTCTAGCACATTGTTTTCTTCTTCAAATACTCTCCACTGTGAAGGTACATAATGAAGAACATGGAATGTGGATGTGGAGCCGAGGCTATAATAAGAACATCTCGTACTACCAAGAACCCAGGAAGGCCCTTTTATGTATGCCCGAAAAAGGTAATTTACCATTTATTCAAATTTTGGTGTTAACCCTACTTTTTTTAAGATGTCTTAATTGAAGCAAATAGTTAGAATCAGGATGCTCGTTCAGGTTTTATAGCTTGGGTTGATGAAATGGAGTGCAACAATGAAGGTTTGATCATAAATGGGTTGTTTAAATCCAACAAAAAGCTTCAAGCTGAGGTCTTTAAGTTGAAGGTTTACCTAGTATGTAGTTGGGTATTTTTTTTCTGTTTAATCATGTACAAATTGTAATGAAGGTCAGTTGGACCACTTGTCTTGTTATGTATCTTGTAATGCACTTTGATGTCTTTTGAAACTTGTAATGTACTTTATTTCCTTTAAGTTGTTATGTAATCTGTAATGTACCTTATTTAATTGAAGTGATTATATTTGGGGTTTGATGTGTTTTGTATGTACGAAATATGAACCATCAAATTAAACAAAGTTAAAACATAACAATTAAATCTAACCAAACACAACCAAGTTAAATCCAACCAAACAAAGTTAAAACATAACAATTAACCTACTACATCCCAATACCAAACTCAACAATTAAATCCAACCAAACACAACCAAGTTAAAAGATAACAACTAAAACAAAATAAGATCCTAATCATTAAGCTACAATGGGTTTGCACTTGTTTCTCCTTTCCCATCTTTGCCCTTCACCCTCTTAGCAAGTTTCATCTTTATGATTCTCTCTTATTTCTTTCTTTTAGATATCCTTCCAGCAGCAACAACTGCTGCTCCTTGACCTTTTTGCCCTTCGTGCACTGATTTTGCTCCTTGACCATTTTGCCCTTCATTGACACCTCCTGCTCCTTCACCTTTATCATTGCCACCTCCTTCTCCTTCACCTTTTCCATTGGCATCTCCTGCTCCTTCACCTTTTCCATTGATATCTCCTTCTCCTTTACCTTTTCCATTGACACCTCCTGCTCCTTCACCTTTTCCATTGACCCCTCCTGCTGCTTCACCTTTTCCATTGACACCTGTTTTCCTTTTTTTAACATTTAGTTTGGGCCTCCTACCAACTTCAGGTTTTTGCACTTGAGGTCTTTCAGCTTGAGGACATGTGACCTTGTTATGCCCCACATTTTTACAAACACTGCATGATATTGTTTTCCCTGCCTTAGACACAGTGTGCATTGGTAGCTTCTCTGATGCATCTCTTCTTCTGTTAACATTTGGTCTACCTGGCATTCTTCTCTTCATTGGTGGAAGAGGTGGTATGAAGTCAGTAGGTGGCCACATGTTGCTACATTCATCCCCTGAATTAGATACTTATGTGTTCTTGTAGAATGCTCCATAGAACATTGTATCAACATAACCACCAACATCTCTATTGAGGAATGATATAGTTGCAACCGAATGCACACATCCATACCCATTAAGTTGTCACACTCTACAAGTGCAAGTCTTCTTGTCCAGGTCAACAGCATAGGACTCAGCCATGTTTCTTGTTTCAAATTGGTTTAGACCACTTGGTAAAACCTGCCAATACCTAGTGTAGACAAAACATAAGTAATTATATTAATTTATGAGTTTAGAGATTAGAAAGTACCTTTGTGCTTTTTTTTAATTGATTCAGAAGGAGTGCAATTGTTGGGCAAGGCTTGTAATCAGGCCATGAACTACCTTTAATCTTTAAATTGTATATTCTCTCCATAACATACAATCTAATCTCCTCTAACATGGTGATGACTGGCTTTTTCCTAGCATCTCTTATCACTTTGTTGAAGCTCTCAGATAACCCATTCTCCACTGCATCACACATCTTTCCCTTTTGAAAAAAATGCTCTACTCCAAGATTTGGGGTTTGTTTCTATAAGATAAGCAAAGGCTGCAGGGTTAAGCACTTCAATCTCCTTCATGGCAGCATTGAATAAAGGCTCAGTGGATGCCTTGCTTGCCTTCCAAAACATGTTTTCATAATGCACACCACTGAATCTTTTCCTAAAGTTGGCAACAATATGCCTTGCACACTGCCTATGTCCAGCAATAGGCAGTATTTCCTTCACAGCCTCTAACAGCCCCTGTGCAACAATGGTAACAAATTATATAAAGGGTATGAAACTAGAATTTATTAAATTAGGAAGTAAAACTACTAACCTTATGTTGATCTGACATTAATGTTATACCAAAACCATCATTCAGTTGCAAGTCATCTCTAAGGTTTTCCAAAAACCATTTCCAATTTTCTTTGTTCTCTACACAGACAACTGCCCATGCAATTGGAAATATGTGATTATTGGTATCTCTTCCTACAGCAGATATGAGCTCACCACTACATAAGCCCTTTAAGAAACCATCCATCTAAATTTATAACCCTTTTACAACTCCCTCTCCATCCTTGCTTAAGCCCATCAAAACACAAGTAAAGTTTGCTAAAATAATTCTTACCATCTGGCATAGAATTGACATCAATTTTGACTGTTGATCCTGGATTTGATCTTCTAATCTCCTCACCATATGACCACAACTTTGCATAGTGCTCCACTAGTGTTCCTTCAATCAGTTCAATTGCATACTTCTTTGCTCTTCTACACTGTCCCATACTCACATCTATACCAAAATTCTCTTTAACCTCATCCCTAAGTAGCCTCACACTAACCTTTTGTTTCTGTAAGAATTATGTTGTGTAATGGGTACCTATCCATGAATAATTGACAATTGAACCTAACTTGAAGTTTCTTGCACAATTATGCTCATTTATAAGACTCTTTATCTGGAAAGACTTTTCCTCACTCATCCAAGAAGCCCACATCCTAAACTTGCACTGCCCAGAACAACATTTCACTAACAGCCTCATACTATCATTTTTTTTGTAACACAACTGATAACCATTTGCTACAACATAGTTACACATCATATGTTTCAGTTATTTAGGACTCACAAATCTCATACCTAATACAGGTTTTTTTGCTTTTTCCAATGAACATTCTCATAGTAAATAGCCTGGTCAGTAGAAATTACCTCAACTTCTTCTGGTGGATCATATGTATCTTCACGAGGTGGACTGTCTGGGGTGACTTTCTCCTTTGGGCACAACTTACTCAGAAACTCATCCTCCTTTGTCTTGTTCATAGGAATGCACTCATCAATTTCACTGTCCCCTTCCATGTGAATGTCATCATCTAGCTCTCCTTGCAAATCCTCGTTTGGACGTGGGATATCATCCATACCACCATGTAAATCTTGCATGTCGATACCATCATCCATATCCATACGACTGTGAACTTCTTCATGATCTTCATTTGCACCATATAATTGGTCCAAAGAACTGCCAACTTCTGCTTGCTCTTCAAGAATCCATTGATGTACATTAACACCAAGATGGTCCATATATACATCGATTACACAATCAGAAGCATACCCTACTTCGATTAGTTCCATGTAATCCATGTCATTCGCGATTAACCTTAAACCATCAGGAAAAACAATATCGGGGCATGCAAAAGTACACTTTCACACATATCTCACATGCGAATCTTTCAAGGAACTCGACAAATTCCTTCTTGTCCATTCCAGCAAAATCAACATCATCAAACCGTTGCTCTGCTCCATCTGTGTAAGTAATAGAGGGGTACCTGGTAAAAATTCCAGCAAAATGTAGATCAATCTTCATGAAAATGGCCATAGCAACAACAAAGTTCCCCGATTTGAGTGACTAACACTTGAAGAAAAGGATAGGACCGAAGAACAAATCAACAACAAATTTCAATGCGGAAGTTAAAGACGAAAGTGATAGAAGGGGACAGTTGAGGGGTTTAAACGTACAGTATCTCTCATTAACTATTGTGCACACGTGGCAATGAAATGGGCTAATTCAATATGACGTGGAAAAAGAAATTTGCCAAGTAGGATGGGGTCACCGGGTGACCCCTTCATTTTTCCAAGATTGCCCTTTTAAAACAAGAAATAACAAGTTTAAGCCCTTAAAACGCAAAAAATAATCACGAGGGACCATTTAAACCATTATACGTAACTTTGTTGGGCTACAGTGACAATAACCCTTTTTTATTCTATTGTTTCTTTTTCGTTTAATTAGTTTTCTAATAGAAACCGTAAAGTTAGGAAATCCTTTACTGGATGAATGTAAAATCCGCTCCTGAACTAATTAGTTTGTTCCTTTTTTGCTAGCTTCTAGCTAGTCTTTTATATATTCACTGCCTTTAAAAAAATAGTTTGTTGTTTTCGTACTGATATTACATTTACCTTTTTGTTGTAGAAAATAGTACATTGATATTAGTTTTCGTAAGAGAAAATATAAATTTACTAAAAAAATTATGCCTAGTATGTAGTTAGAAGTGTACTTATAGATATGGTAAATAGGAGTAAAATGCTATGTTTGTTGTGTTTTAAAAAAATCAAATAAACAAAGGACACAAAATGGAAAATAAGAAAAGTAGAAGGGAGGAAAAGAAAAAAAAAGATGCCACCGACATTAGTATTTATAATGGATATAATATAATGTGAGAATTATATGGTCGTACCGTACGATACATATGTCTATTCAATTTCATGTTAAATGTCATGACTACGATATTATTAGAGTTTTTGAAAGAGTACGATATTATTAGAGTTTAACGAGCATTCTAATAATTTGAGCTATTTGAATATATAATATGAATGGTCCCCAACCAGTGGAGGAACTCGTAGGTGTCCCGGGAGGGTCCCGGGCCACTACTCGATTTCGATTCCGAAGAGCATTTTTTTTTTTTTGGTATTATGTGCAACTACAAAATTTATCGTGCAACTATTATTAGGTTCAACATAAATAAATATGATGCGCAAAAAGGAAAATAATGCAACAATTTTCTTCCTATGATGGGAGAGATTTGTTGACTACCAGCCTTTATCTACAAGCCCAAACCAAAAATAAATAAATAATAACAAACCTCTCGATAACAACTTTCAAGAAATGCTAATGTTGCCTATAATGCTCTTTGTTGAACGACTGCACACGTTGATTTGTTTAATTCCAGACTCCATCTAAAAGCCCATCATTTTTTATGGAACTATTTTCTTCCTAGGATGACAAGATTTCTTTCTACCCTACGATGAACACATTAAATGGAGAAGATGAAATGGTGGGTGGATTTACTATAAAAAATGCTTCTTGTATCGGTTGTAAGGCATCCTAAACACATATAATTAGAAAAACCCAAACAAATCAAGCATAAAGTCAATATTCTATGAGAAATTTGTCAATCCATAACGATAATTATGCTAAAGAAGAAGATTGTTTTTTCTTTTCCTAACCATTTGCCTCCACTTGAGTTCGGATAGTAATGACGTAAATTCTTACTAAAGAACATTAATCTTAACTTTTGTTTTTATTTTGTTCTTTACTTTTAGTTAATCGGTAAGATATATGAAGTAGGTTTTCGGGGACAGGATGTAATGTCACTTATGATTTGATCCCAATGCGGCTAGAGCAACATTAGAATGGATTTAAGTCTATCTACAAGAAACGAAGAACCATGGCATCATCGACTTCTTTCACATAGCTATCTTGAGATATATTATCACACTTTGCATAAAGATGATCGGTTCACTAGTTTGAAAGGAATTTCCGACCTTTCTCGTTTGATGGTGGAAACGGGGAAACATCGGTCTTATCTTATGGTTTTTAGGTTGTTAAAGTTGGTTTTGGTTTTACCCGTCATGACCGCAACAGTCGAAAGATGTTTTTCTGCGATGAAGCTTTTGAAGACAGACTTGCGTAACAAAATTGATGATGATTTTTTGAACGATGTCATGGTTTTTTATGTTGAAAAAGATCGAAAATGTAATAGAGCGGTTACAGAAAATGTGTACACGTAGATGTCAAACTTAAAATTTAAGATGTAACAGATCGGTTTAATGTACTAGTACTTTTAATTTTTTTTTTATGTTATTATATTTGGGATAATGTCATAAAAAGCTTTAAGTTTGACAGAAAATGTCGGTTTTAACCTTCGACAGATTTTTGGCTTGTTTATGCCGCAAACTTGTTATTTTTTTTGTCGGTTTTGCCTTTTTTACCTGTAATTGCAGGTTTCCAGGTTATCATAAATTATTTTTTGCGAAAAAACCCTTAAGTTTACAAATATTTTGCAAAAAAACTCTTAAGATTATAAAAGTATAAAATATAAATATATATTCAAAATTTGATAAAACAAAATAGTTTTTAAAAATTTAATTGTCAAAAGTTTATATCAAACTAATATAAGTTTTATTGTATTTATATTATGAAACCAAAACGAAAACATATTTTTAGATTTACGTATGATAAATTTTATATTGGTAAAACTAGGTAATTTTTTTCAAATTTAAATATAAAAAGTTTATATCGAACCAATATAAAATTTACCGTACGTAAAGCTAAAAATATGTTTTGGTTTTGGTTTCATAATATAAATACAATAAAACTTATATTAGTTTGATATAAACTTTTGACAATTAAATTTTTAAAAACCATTTTGTTTTATCAAATTTTGAATATATATTTATATTTTATACTTTTATAATTTTAAGGGTTTTTTTTGCAAAATATTTATAAACTTAAGGGTTTTTTCGCAAAAAATAATTTATGATAACCTGGAAACCTGCAATTACATGTAAAAAAGGCAAAACCGACAAAAAAAAATAACAAGTTTGTGGCATAAACAAACCAAAATCTGTCGAAGGTTAAAAACAACATTTTCTATCAAACTTAAGGCTTTTTATAACATTATCCCTATTATATTTGGTCGGAATTTTTTTTTGTGCTACTACTATTGAACGTTCCTGGTTCCGCTACTATCCCCAACAATATTTTATATTGCAATTTTATCCCCATCCTAAAAGTTTGGTTGAAGGAAAGTAAGAGATATTCGCAACATGGATTCATCTATGTTTTGTTTCTTGATGATTTAGTAATATGGTCGGTTTGTTGTAAATGAACAATATGTTCCAACATGACCCTCTTATTTTCGTTATATATTCCAAGTTTAGTGCATAAGAGTCGCAACTATACATATATTGAAGTGACACCTAACAAGGCTTTGCATCACAACTACATACCCGATTGTATTTATTTGAGATAGCTTTCATATAATTATTGTTTATATTTTCTATTAGTGTTAAACTAGGTACGTCCTCGAAGGTTTAGAATGACTCAAATCGGGGTTGATTTGGGGGGTGCTATAAAAAAAATAGGTCTATGAAGAACAAAAGCTCTTTTTTTTTTTAAAGTTTATAATTTTACAAAAATACGCTCCAAAACCATAACATGCCTATGATCTTCACTCCTACCTTCTATACCACCCTTCATGAACCCTCTATCCTAAATTACCTTTTCGCCCTCTGTAGCGTCTCCAGAGCTAATCTAATGTTCATTTTCTGCTTCTGTGTCCCTGCAATTGTAAATATATTTTTTATTAACTTTTATATAAGAAATATCAATTAAAAAAAAAAATCAGAAACAAACAAACCGTTGATATGGAAGGCGTTGATTGGGAACACCATCTTCACCACGTTTATCTTCAAACCATTTCAAAACTTTCTTGCGGGGTATATTCGTCACATGCACAATGTTACTAATCATAGCATTCTACATTTAAATTCTGTCAAATTAATTTTTATACAAAATACAAATTGTAACAAATTACATAATCAACATAAACTACTTACAGTGGGACGTTTTGATCGTCTATAAACTCTTTCAAGGGTTTCCAAATGCACTTTTCTTCAGTCTCTTTTGAGCAGACCAATTACTTTGCATTTCATGAACTGGAACTTTTTTAGTCGACTTACCATTTAAATTTATTGCATTTTTTTCACTTTTCAACAGAAGGGCATCTTCGGGATTTATTATGGGCTCCAAAATTGTTGATTCAGGTTTATCCGGTAATGAAGCACTCAGAATAAGAAGATCTGGAGGAGGGTCACGAAGTAATTCAAGAACAATAGCTCTATCTAGACATAAATCTGCAGCCAGATTCTTGATCTGGATTAACAAGAATTTAAATCATAATAATTTTCTGAAAAAAAAAATAATAATAATAATAACTTGTAAATATGCTTACATTAGTCTTACGGCGTCCATTTTTTAGTGCATAAGCCAATCTCCTCATCTGCCATCTTTTCAGTTCCAGTGGTCCTTCTTCATCTTCATCTTCATCTTCATCTTCATCTTCATCTTCATTTTCATCATCATCTTCATCTTGTGTTTCAGTCTCCTCAGTTGCTTCATTCACCATTATATCTATTGTGTTTTTCACCTTGTTATCTTTGACTTTGACCTTGTTTACCTCATCGATAGTATCATCAAACAAAGCAACTAACTCATCATCTGCTAGTGCTTCCTCTAACTCACGTTCAAGCTTTATAAGGTCTTCTTCACTTATCTCATCATCATCATCATCAAATGATAAGCCATCATTTTTAAGATCCTCTTCTAGTTGCTTAAAGAGTGCTTCAAAAGCATCCTCTTCAATATCTTCTTCCTTACCAACACTACTTCGACCCAAGCCTTGCTGCAGAAACAAAAGGCAATCCAGAGAAATTAATTAGTTTATTTTTTAGGTTGTTATTTGTATATAAATTGAGGCTCTGATCAATTGGGTTTAAGTACTTTACAAGTTACAATCATTCAGAATTTAAACTACAAGAAGAACCCTGAGGTTAAGAAAGCTTTTTTATTGGTTTTCAACAATAAGAAGCTTTTCAAATTCGATATTTATTTTCGAGGTATGAGAATTTTACACAAACATGTAAATGAATGATGACATCTCATTTCTGAAAGTTTGTCATGGAAAACATGTCCATGAAGTTGTGGCTTGAAATGCAAATTAAACTAGTCATCTGCTAGTGTAAAGTTATGTCACACAGAAAGCCTATTGAATATTTGCTCCTCTAATTAAACATCATATAGTCAGAAATCACTTTTCAGAGTGCATTACTTCAATCTAAAGCCATTGATCTTCAATTTTCGTTTCAATTCATGCTCAATTTTCAGTGAGAGCAATTGAATCCAACTTAAGTCGAGGTGTTAGTTATCGTAACAGGCAAATAGCTATAAGCGCTGCAAAAAATGGAGATTTCCAGAACCTAATATAACAAATACCTTCTTCTTCTTGGAGGAAGGGACTGCAGAGTTGCTTTTGCTGCTACGACGGCGAGCACAAGTAACGACGGAGCAACGAGAAGACAATTGCCGTAGGTTTACAGAGATAGCTGGAATGTGAAGAAGGCGATGGTTAGGGTTAGGGTTAGGGATATATGAAGTTGAAGGAAGTTGATTTGTCATCCAAAAGTGAAGAGGTGAAGCGGACGCCATGGAAATTGTTTGGAGCTCTGATAGAGGGTTTTAGGGAGGTTGAGATGGAAATGGCAGTGTGGTCATCTAATCTACAAGTTTGAGAAAAATACGCAAACAACCCCGAAAGTTTCAACAATTTTGCTAAGCCACTAACCAAACTTTAAATCAAAACAAATTACATGGTTGGTCCTAGGGTTTATTGTACTCTTCGACTAAATATGAATTTTATTGAAATATTAGTTCCTATTTGAAACAATATCCGAAAGTTTCAACAAATTTTGCTAAATCACTACAAAACTTACAAAAATACATGTTAGTATGTTGACTTACTTCGTATTGCTCACTAAATCAAGACAAAATTACATGATTGGTCCTAAGGTTTACTGTATTTTTAGTTTTTCCTCTAACTATGAATTTTGATGAAACATTGGTCCCTAATTCAAACTATACCGAGAAACAGGAAAGTTTCAACAATTTTTCATAAGACACTACCAAACTTACAATAATATATATTAGAATGTTGCCTTGCTGCATGTTACACACTAAATCAAGACATGGTTGATCACTAGGGTTTATTGTATTTTTCGTAATACTATGAACTTTGCTGTAACATTGGTCTCTATTTCAAACTATATTAGCAAGGTTAGTTCCTTGCCATAACATTCTTGAGACGGAAACCATTACCCCCCTCACGTGTTTTGCATATAAGGGTAAAACTATCATTTTTCTCTTCTTTTTTTTTTTTTTGTTGGATTAAAAATAACATGTATGATCTCCTTGATTGTGAAAATGTGTTGTAGAAGAGAGAAAACAAAACTATGGGAGGCTATGTGTATATTCCTCGACCAAAAAAGTGTTGGTGATTTTATATCACTAATGTTATTTAAGTGTAATGGGGTTAATTTGTTGATCAATGTCACTTTGACAATTATTGAACAAATCGGTATGGTGCGGAGTGCATATTTGTTTAATTTTGTCTTTGTTGAAAGTATACTGCTATTTAGGGGCGAAGCCCCTGAACCAACGGGGGTCCGGGGGCAGCGCCCCTGGGAGCGGGGTCCAAGGGGCAGAGCCCCTGGCTGGGTTCGAGCTGTCAGGTCATATTCTAGACCCGAATTTAAGTTAGTTTATGATGTTTTGACAGTTTTATGACATAAAACTGTCATATGGCAGTTTTAAGACTGGAAGTTTTTCTGGTTATATGATCATTTTCGAAAACTGTCATGGGTCATGTGCAGGTGCCCACTTTGCCCCTTTCAACGCCCATATATATATATATATATATATATATATATATATATATATATATATATATATATATATATATATATATATATATATATATATATATATATAGTGAGAGAGAGAGAGAGATGGAGAGTAAGGATCATTTGAGAACTCAAAGTTTCCCGAGAACCCGAGAACTAAAGGTGGAACGTTAGATCAAAAAATTTAATGGCTTAGATTAAAAATGGCATAATTGTAATTATCAATAATTTGAATTGCATGTTAGACTTCTTCAAAAAGATCAGAAGGGCATAATCGGCATTAAATATATCATTAATAATAATTTATTTAACTAATAATATATAATTTAACTATGAAGAAATCCTCTCTCTCTAAAAAACGTCTTCATTCCCTCTTTCTCTCTCATGTCTCTTGTTCTTCACACGTTTCCAGATCTCCAATCCATCGATCATCTTCGTCCTTCCTCAATCGATTTCCTTTCTCACATCCATCATTCTGATTCTAGATCTAATCAGATCTTGTTCACTGTGGCTGGAGTTCTAATTATGTTCATCGGTGTGTTTTTGGTGATAGATGAGATCGTGTTTAAATCTAATTTTTAGATATGTCCCTGGCTTCATATTCTTATTAGGTTCTTTGTGTTTCTCGTTGTGAATTGGATCATCATTCGCCTGCTCTGGCAAATCCTTCCACTGGTTCATCCGGTAATCACTCCTAACCACATCATTTTGATTCTCTTCCTCCCTAATCGAATCATGAAACTATAATTGTTCTAAAAGAGGAGAAAAAGGAAGCAATCAAGCATTTGTGTGTGTGGACTGATTATCATCGGAGTCGAGCTGATGTTCTCACTAAATTGCTTTCCGATCTCCTCGCTAGAAACCACAGACCGGTTTAGTTTGATGTTAACTTTGATTGGACCAGGTTAGTCATTGAATTTTGAATCCCAACCAGTTTCTTCATAGAAACTAGACACCGGTTTTTGGATATCCTTGTGTTCAACCAGTTTCTTCATAGTAACATATTTGTATAATTTTATATTTCTAGATTATTGGTAATATATACGATACACAACGAGTCCATAACGTGAGACGCTGATTCCGGCTTTTCCACGTGATCTCCTCCATGCCTCCGCCCCTTTCCGTTCATCCGCAACTACAATAGACTGGCTCACTCGCAATAGAAGTAGTAGTCATACTCATATCATCTATCTATCTATCTCTCTCTCTCTCCCTCTCTCTAGACTCGCCGGTATAATTGTCAACAGTCATTCAAGGGGTTCATTTCGGAAGTAGATCGATTTTATCCGGAGAAACCTCCGATAATGAAGACAACCAAAGTACCAATCTTGAGTCCTCCTCTTGTCGCTTTTGAACATAAGAGGTATCAGTTGTTTCGAATGTATTTACAGTTATATTATGCCATAATTGCCCCCTTTTTCTTAGGATGTTCGATTTCTCTCCCATTCACTCCATTTTCTCCATGTTTAATGTTCGATCTATATCTCATATTTGATGATTACTTAAACTTATATTGTATACTGCTGTGATCGTGTAATGTGATATTGGAAGTTACGAAAATTATCGGAACAGTTTTTGATCTTGGTGAGGGATTTGATTTTGATCTTCTTTAATTGGACGCCTAAATGATTAACTTTGTGATGAATATTGGTTTCACACTTTTTAGGATCAATTATTTTGGTCATGATCTTGTTTGTTGTTATTTAAATTTGATTTAGGAATCCCTCTTTTTCAAAAAAAGAGCCACATTATGCTTTTCTGCTATTTTTTTAACTTTAGAGCAGTTAAAATACTTTTCAACAGTTGAATTACGAACTTCTTAAGAGAAAAAACCATAGCACATGAAAGTGAAACTAAATCTACAAGGTTCCATTCTCCCTATCTTATTACTTACTTACTTTTTATTAGACAGAGATGCCTATGGTTTTGCAGTGAGACCTTATAATGTACAGAGATACCGGGAATATGCAAATATCTACAAGGTTTTACTCTCTTTAATCTCCATCTTCTTACTTATTTACATATCATTCAATTACATTCATAGTGTAAAACTTGCAACCCTACATGGTTTTAGGAAGAAGAGGAAGAATGGTCAGATAGTTGGAAAGACTTTCTGGAAAGGCAATCAGAGGGTGCTCAATTGCCTGTAAATGGTGGTTCTGATAAAGCCCCAGAAGGAGATGATTTGAGCAGTGAGAAGCCTGGCCATGATGATTTAAAACCTCGAGAAGATGAAGTTTCTTAGACTAAGTCTCATGGGGTCCAAATATGGGCTCATATTAAGCCATCACTTAGAGCCATTGAGGATATGATGAATGCTCATGTTAAGAGAAAGATTAGTAGGACCAAATCAGAGGAAGCTCCTGAAACTGAAAATGTTGCTTCTATTGAGGACTCTGAGGACGAGTTTTATGATTTGGATAGGTCAGAGTCAGACATAACTCCAGATATCCCTGCAAGTGATGGGTGTCACTCCCTCATTTCCAACTGTTGATGACATTGCTGTCCCACAGGAACCTTCAATTCCATGGAAACAGGAATTGGAGTTTCTTGTCCAAGGTGGAGTGCCAATGGCTCTTAGGGGAGAGGTAGGTTGTGTACTCTTCCAATTCATGTATTTATGTAATGTTTCAACGTATTATATTATAATTAACCACATTTAATTGCAGCTATGGTAAGCTTTTGTGGGTGTCAAGGCTCGACACATTAAGAATTACTATCAGAATTTTCTACTTTCTGATAGTAAGACTGATAACAATGTGGATCAGCAAATTCAAGAAGTATATGAAGCAAGTAAGGACTCGAAGAATGACTCCATGAACACACCCGAGAAATGGAAACTTCAGATTGAAAACGTCATCACCTAATTTAGTAAATTACTAATCTTGGTTACTTTTTTTGTACAATTCCTAATCAGATCAGATATATTGTTTTGTTTTTACAGGATTTCCCTCAGACTTTTCCACGTCACCCTGCTCTAGATGAAGGTGGTAGAAATGCTTTGAGATGTTTACTCATAACATATGCTCGCCATAACCCCTCTGTTGGTTACTGCCAAGTCAACATTCAACTCATTTGACAACTAATATTGTATATTTTTTAGATATTCTTATAGATTATGTGAAATGTAATGAAATTGATTAATGATGCTAATCTGATGTATTACATTCAGGCCATGAATTTTTTTGCTAGCTTATTACTTCTTCTGATGCCTGAAGAAATTACTGCCAACAATTTTTCTCAATGTTTAGATTTCTAGGTACTAGACATTTCTCTAACTTTTAATTCCTAGAATTCATTAGTTTTGTGGATTTCATCAGCAATGCGGCAATGCCTTGATTTAATTTTCTAAAATTTTCATTAAAATAAGTCATCTTATGACAATTGACATATTATGCATATGATATATTTGTTAATTTTTGAGTTTTTATGAACAGGTAATTGAAAATGATGTTGTTGATGTGTTTGATTGTTATAACTGTTAGTTTTCTTTCTGTCTTTCTTATGACAATTGACATATTATGCATATGATATATTTGTTAATTTTTGAGTTTTTATGAACGGGTAACTGAAAATGATGCTTTTGATGTGTTTGATTGTTATAACTGTTAGTTTTCTTTCTGTCTTTCTTATGATAATTGACATATTATGCATATGATATATTTGTTAATTTTTGAGTTTTTATGAACAAGTAACTGAAAATAATATTGTTGAACTTGCAATCTGTCACACCCCAAAACCGGAACGGCGGAAACGTTCGGGAGTGGAGGACGTCATGTTTAGTATCACAAGTCATGCATCATAGTAATCAAAGTAATAAACAACCATTTCATTAGAAAGAAAGTGTTTACAAAGTATGTGGTTCACATAACATAGTCTACAAAGTAAATAACAAAACAAGACATGAAGCTATACTGCTCCATCTTCTGAATCCCAGTGCGCGTACCTGTCTACTGGTCCCCTGAGAATACAAGTTATTTTGAAAGAGTATATCAGCATTTAAGCTGGTGAGTTCATAAGATTTTAGTGATGTAAGTAAGTTGTAAGAAAGTTGTAGTAAGTTGTAAGTTCTTTTAGAAAAGTTCGCCTGTTCCTCCAGAAAATCCTATATTTCCTGCTTTGATGTAAGATAAGTAAAAATGACTCTACAATCCTTTCTATGAGTACTAAATGGATACAAGTTATATAAAACCCAGAGTAAACAAACAATCGGTTGTGTGTATCTGCCCTAAGCCCACAACCAAACAAGGAACAGGAAATGAGGCGGAAGGCACACAACCCATTGGTTGTTAGATCATCGTTGTATATAACCCCGGCGTATTCACTTGGTACTCACGGAGTTAACTGTAATAGTTCCTTTATATATGATGAAAAGACTCTTTAATAAAACCCTTATTTCTTTTAGTAAAAATGGTAACCACGATGGTTCCTTCTATAATCACTTAGTTTGTACTAGCTATATATAATCTAATATCGAACAGATAGTTAATTGTGTGAATCTGCCCTAAGCCCACAACCAAACAAGGAACAAGAAATGAGGTGGAAAGCACACATTCAACTACCTATCGGGTATTAATTATATATAACCCTGATGTATAAACTAAGGTATTATAGAATTAACCACCTAAGGTCCTTTAAGTTATACTGGTTTAATAAAATGGATTAAACCCTTTACTGGTTAAGTTTCTAGTTTTGAATACCAAATGTTCTATTTGCAAAGTATGTTTTGTACTAGAAAATTGTGCATTGAATTAGTGTCCTATGACCTGACTCATACCTGGTACCCCTTATGATTACTTGGTGTATACGGAATATATACATAGCTAAGATCGAATAAATAGTAGGCTGGGTGAATCTGCCCTAAGCCCACAACCAAACAAGGAACAGGAAATGAAGCGGAAAGCACACATCCTACTACATGTCGGATCCGATTAATATATATCCCTGATGTATAAACTAAGGAATCATAAAGTTAGCATTATAGGCCCCTCTCTACTGAATGTACTAGACTCGACTGTTCTGTTTGTAGTTTGAAAAAGATGTAAGTTTTCCCTAGTTTATAACTATCTTAACTCGAAAATAGTTTGCATTAACTTTCAAGTGGAACTGGCACATTATGAAAGTAATGGGAAAATGCAAGTACACAGTTGTCTTTTGAATTGACATCCTGACGTACTGATTACCTTAAAACATGTTTGTTTTATTAAGGTCATAATGTGATGGATAGTACCCATACTATACGCTCTCCCTGTAAGAGACTCTGGGGACCAAACGCGACTTCCGCAAACAAATTGCTAGGCCGTGTAAATTCACATTAATGTTATATGATCATGTATACCCAATTTACTATCACCTTTTGTTTAGAACAATGAGTTAGTGATTATTGGTATAATTAGATCCTGTATTGTTCTTCTGCTATAGCATTTAGTATGTTCGTTCTGTTATAGTATCTTAGTATGTTCTTTCTGTTATCGCGTATTGTATCTTCCTCCCTGTTTCTCTTTATAGTATGTTCTAGCATTTAGTATGAACTGAACCCCTAAACTATACCTACTATAGTTTACTAGCATGTTTACTTGAACTGTTTTTGAAAAGACTCATTTATTTACTAAGTTATGATTGTACTTTAAAAACGGAGTTTTATAAACTATAAAGTAACATAACTTAAAAAGAGTTTTTTTGAAATGTTTTGATCACTTATAAAAGACATAAGTAATCTTTTGAAACATGTTTATAACAAACATTTACACAATTATCATTGTGTTCAACTTGTATTTCCCCCCTTAAAAGCATTTAAAACAGTTTAAAAGATTCATTATAGGGGTATGAACTCACCTTATGTGGGTGATTCAAACGAATATGCGCGTAAGGATGAGAAGTTCCACGAATGAAGTCCTGAGACACAAACGAGTCCTAAATGACATATAATGGCATATATTGGCATGAATATAGTGTTTAGAAGCAACCACATGCAAAGGAACACCTTTAGGGACTAGGAAACACTTGGACCAAGCGTTAGAATCACATGTGATTCATCTAAGGGATGTTTATGGCCACCAATTGGTGTTTACGGCCATGGAGTTTACGGCCGTAAACTCATGGTAAAATGTGCACAAAAGGGTGATTGAATGATAGGGAAGCGTGTGGGACTATGGCTCAACAGGAGGATAAGCAAAACTAACCTTTTAGAAGGTTTTAAGGTGTTTACGGCCAAGATGGATGAGTTTACGGCCAAGCAAGGAGTTTACGGCCGTAAACTCATGAACATTATGCACAAGATGGTGTTTTAAAGTCCTTTCTATCATCCATTAGGGTTTCAAGGTCTAATGCTTGCATATGAGAAGGGTTTGCGGCCAACTTGTGACCAAAACATGGGTTTACGGCCAAGGGAGATTCCATGGCCGTAAACTCTTGATGTTTATGCTAAGGTGGTTGTTTCAAGACTTTGATCTAGTGTTTAACTTGTCTAACTAGATGATAGATAGAATACTCACACTTTTGAGGGCCTTTGAGGAGTTTTCGGCCACCAAGAACAAGTGTGTGTTCTTGGTGTTCTTGGTGAAAGTTGATGATCTTGAAGATCTACTCAAAAGGCGATTTTCACGGATGGAATCAAAGGGTGATTCATGATTAAGAAGAATAACAACAACTAGATGGAAGAATCACTTACGTTTTTGAAGATCGGGGATGAAGAACTCGATGATACTTGAGAGAGAATGGAAGTTTCTTGAGTTGAAAGTGTAAGAATGAAAGAAAGTGAAGGAAATGAGACTTAAGGGGGGAGTTTACGGCCAGCCTTGAGTTTACGGCTGTAAACTCATGTGTTATGGCCGTAAACTCCTTTTGGTGGTGTTTAAGCCTTGAATGTTGTACAGTGACTCTAGCAGGTACTTCCTATTATTACTCATTCCTTGGATGTACTAGGCTTAAAACTCAATAGAATGACCATTAACAAGGCTAGAAGGCAATGAACTTAAGTTTGACTTTTGGTTGATTGGCTTGACTTTACAAGGCAAACATTTTCCGGGTTGTCACACAATCAAATACCACACATAGGATCTTACTACCAGAGCTATGTGTTTGAGTGCTTTGTTGAAACTGTCATCCTGTTTCCCTGTGAGCACAATAAGTTACTTATTTGATCATCTTTAAAAGCACTCAAGTTTAGTTTATATGTAAATCACACATGAATCACATAGGAATTACATGTAAATCACGAGTGAAACACATGAATTACATGTGATTCACATGTAAATCACGAGTGAAAACACATGAATTACATGTGATTCACATGTAAATAACATGTAATTCACATATGAATTACATGTGATTCACATGCAAATCACATGTAATTCACATACGAATCACATGTGATTCACATGTAAATCACAAGTGACACACATATGAATTATATGTGATTCACATGTAATTCACATGAGTTACATGTGATTCACATGTAATTTACATATGAATCAGATGTGATTTACATATGAATCAGATGTGATTCACATGTAATTTACATATGTCATCATTGGCATGGATTGGTTATCCCCTAACCACGTTGAAGTCTTATGCTTTGAGAAAGCATTGCGTTTATCCTTATCGAGCGGAGAATTCTTAATCATCTACGGGGACAAACCTAGTAAAGACCTTAAGATTATTTCCTGCATGAAGGCTAGAAAATACTTGCAGAAAAAGTATTATGCCTTTCTAGCCCACATGGTCGATAAGAAAGACAATAAGAGAAGGATCGCGAAAGTACCTCAGGTGTGCGATTACCCCAATGTATTCCCTGAAGATATACCAGGAATACCCCCGACACGTCAAGTCGAGTATCAGATTAATCTAATTCTAGGAGCTGCCCCAGTGGAAAAGTCTCCTTACAGATTGGCACCATCAGAGATGCAAGATCTCACCAGCCAGCTATAGGAACTTCTTGACAAGGGTTTCATCAGGCAAAGCTTCTCGCCTTAGGGAGCACCCGTTCTATTTGTCAAGAAGAAAGATGGATCTTTCCGAATGTGCATCGGCTATAGGGAATTAAATAAGTTGATCGTTAAGAATCGATATCCACTTCCA